AGCTTGTTCTTTTGACATGGTTAAGTCATTTCAACTATATTTCAGCTCTTTCCAAAATGTTCTTTTGGTGATTCACATGTCACAGCACAAATTGCAACCTTCAGAAATTCATTAAACTAGTTCTAATCTAAAAGGTACCTTGTCATAGCTAGGTTAGGAAGTGAAGGTAGCATTCTTGTGCACAAGAATTTTGGTAACATAATAGTTCTTTTTTAATCTATGACTGCATGACACCCACAAGAGGACAACTGCATGAATCTAAACAAAGAAACAAAAAACAACAACCACCAGCTTTAATGAATTGTAGGCAGATGTTGTTTATGCTCTTCAAATCCAAAATACTGCACAGCTCTATTATCACATTTCACATTAGATTCAATTGCAGAATCAGATACACTTTCAAACTTTCAACTCATTTCAACTTTCAACATAAAAATTATGTGGGCTTTGTTACTGTTCTGAAAATGAAAATGAAGTCTGATAAGAGGTGCATGGATTGTGATTGGACTGTAATTCTTCAGATTCTCTTTTTTTTTTAAGATACAAACATTTTTCTCTTTCAGTTATCTGACCCATCACCCATGATTTCTTAAATATTATACAGGTCAGACTGGGAAATCAGTTATGAATCCTAACACTAGTTTTATTAGGCTACAGTAAGAGAATACTGTAAATTTGAATAGGTTTACCACTTTTCTTCTCTTTATCTTTGTGGAAAATATGGAGAGTTCTGTCTGAGACACCTTCTGAAATTACATTTGTGTCTCAGACTTGCATTACTTTTATCTGACCATAGTCTTGGTTGCGATTCATCCTTTTGTTCCTCAAAGCTATTCCTATCCCGTCTGTCCATTACAGTACAGTTTGTGCCAGTTCAGCTAGTATTTTTAATATCATAAGATATAATTATCTTTTTCAAATTTAACTGGAAGTAAAAAAGATACTCTTTCTATCTTCTTTTTATAGTTGCATATTACTTAATTGCAGAAAACTGAGGATAAACAGAAGTTGAATAGTTCTGCTTTTTGTTAACATTCCAACATTTGTGTAGAGAACTAGTGTACTGGATTTGTTTCCTTTTATCTTGAGTAGTTTTTTGTTCTTAATATTCATCTTATAAATATCTCATTTCCGTCATTATCTCTAAACTGTGCTTAATAGTTAACAAGGTTTTTTTTCTCCTGAAAATACTACACTCCTTTTCCTCTAAATCTATCTCATATGATTGTGACAAATCAGTTCCATATTTGTTTTATCAAGGCAAAGCATTTTCTTTCAAAACATTTGACTTCAGAAAACATTATTTTACATACTTCAGATGATTTTTGAAGAAAAGGCTTCCAATAACTCTTTCAATCAAATAATTGTTATAAAAACAATACTGGTGTATGATCTGAGGAGTATTCTGTGTCAGCTAAGCTTCTCAGCAGGTTGGTTGGGATGATTTGTGGCTTTTGTTTTGTAGATTGGTTTGGGAAAATTCAGAATTTTCCCTGGAAAGCAATCTAATATGCCAGAGACAGTGAAGAAACTGAGATTGAAAAAAATATTTGATATTCAGCAAGATAACAATTTGAAATATTCAAATCCACATCAATAATTAAGTATTTAGAACTAAGGGGTTTGGAATTACCTTCAGCATCAAGACATCCATGAAAAAAAAAAATCTCAACATGTAGTACAATACAGGAAGACCTAAGAATATTTTAGAAATGTCATAGCAGAATTATTTTAATTCTGGTGGTGGGGGAATCCCAAAAACAAGTACAGGAAATTTTTTAGGAAACTAAGAAAGCACTAGGAATAAATTTATAAATAAGACAGCAGAAAAATATGTAGAAATTTTTATTTCTGCTAAAAGAGATGTTATAAAACCTGGCTAAAATACCTGGCTAGAATTCAAACTTCTGCACTTGCTTCTATCTTGCTAAGGAATTAATGGAAACAAATAATTTGGCCAGAGGTGCCTAGACTTTCGCATACAACTGCTTGTTGGTTTAAGGAATTTGATGCGGAAAATAGTTTGAAATTGAATATGAGCAAGAATGCACTTATTAAATTTTTATAAACTACCCTTTGTCATAAACCATATGGCTCACACTTTGTTCCAATGGCAATTCTGAAAGGGTAGCAGTCACATGAAGGAACAGATATGAGACTTTGAATGATCCCCTAAACACATGGCATGGAATTTAATTCAAAGTGGAAACCATTCCTGTACTATAACTTAAGACATAGACTTATACCCCATCCAAAATGTGGATTCTTTGATGCGTAGATTTCACTTTCATAGGATACTTGAAGAAAAACAAGTTCTCAATTTGACTTAATTGTATTGCAATTATAATTTCATATAATATTGTACTGACCATAATTCTCTATATTTATTCTCACTCAAAAATGTATCTTTGCTTAAAAGTATAATGGTGAAAGTCTGAAGTACCGTTGCTTTAAGAGCCAATACTTTCCAATGGAGGGAAACTCCAATAGAAAAGAATAATCTCTGAATGCCTTTTAAAACAGTCTACCCAAATGCTTGATATTAAGTAGGGATATTTGTAAGATTTTCTCTGCTTGGCTTAAACGGGATAGTCAGTCTTGGAAAGAGAATCTTAGAAATACTTGGTACCTGATAGACTTAATTTAATCTGAAGCTTGAATTCTACTAGAAAATACACTAGCAATATATGTACCTCTCCTTCAGGGGTGTCAAACTCAAGGCCCGCGGGCCTGATCCGACCCATGGGGTGCTTAAATCTCACTCGCAGAAATAGCAAAGGATCAGCCCACAGTGCCTCTGCCAGCGAAAACAGGCCACAGAGGGGCACACGCGCTCCCCATGGCCCATTTTGGCTGGCAAAGTGCTGCTGGCTGAAAACAGGCAGTGGGGAGGTGCATGTGATCGATCTCCCTCGCCCCATTTCTGCTGGTATTATGCTTCAGGAGGCATCTGTCCCTTCTCTCCCTCCCTCCCCCCCCCCAGCCGGCCAACGAAGAACTACAATGCTGATCTGGCTCTCAAAGAAATTCAGTTTGATACCCCTGGTGTAGCATGATAGTAAAAACATTATAACAGGCTGTTGCATTTTGTATCAGTTAACGCTTCCTGATGATCATCAAATGCAATAATTTAGTCTTATAAGTGACCTCCTTAATAGTCCATATTACCAGAAGAAATTGCCTCTACTCTACCCTACCCTGATCAGGCTACATTTCGAATCTTGTGTCCAGTTCTGACCATTACAATCTAAAATGGACATCATCAAATGAGTTCAAAAGTGACAACTAAAATTATGAGGGACTGGAAGCTAAATCCTGTGATATCAGTTAAAGGATATGTTTAGCAGGAAAAAGACTTAGAAAAAGAAACAAGATAACAGTCTTCAGATATCTAAAGAGTTGTTATATAAAAAGAAAATGTCTTGTTATCTACTACCTGCCAGGACCAGAGCACAACCAATGATTTGAAATAACATTGAAAAATGGATTCAAGTTAGATGTTAGCATTATTTCTCTCTGATGGTTAAGAACTACTAATAAATGCAATAGGTTGCCTCATAAACTGATACGTTCACTTTCACTGAGGGTCTTTAAACAAAGATTGGCTAGTCAGCTCTATGAAATGATTTAATAAATCTTAGTCTGAATGAGCAATAAGACTAGATGATTATTGAAGTTCCTTTTAATTCTATTACTGAACAAGGGTTGGAATAAATACATTAAAAGCAAAAGTTAGCTAATCTTGAAATATTGGAAACTTTGGGATTGGTTGAATTAAAAAAAACAAGCTATTGTCTTATGTTCCATTTAGCTGAATGCAATGTTATTAGGAAGAAAAATAATACTTAGTTGTGCTGAATTGGAAGTAATAAATTAAGCATCCCTTACTGTCCTGATTATATGCTCTTAATAATAGCATAATGCAGTAAAAGATTTAACACACAACAGCTGATCTATCTCAAAGTTGTAGCATTCGTTTCTTTCACTATTCTCTGTCATCGATAAAACATGACACAAATATTCCTTCAGTGCTGGATTTTCTGGGATGTCTATTTTTTAGAAGAAAATAGCTGATCAGTTAAAACAATACTTTATAAGGAATTATAAAGCTTCTAAGAACTATCATATACAAAAGATAAAATACTTGAATTAGCATATCCATATATACTTATATTTACTAAACTTACTAACTTCCAACAATTACGAACATTATGAAAGTTATGATATTGGATATAGATGTAGGCACATGCAGACATCCTGACAGGTTTTTCCTTCATTTTTTTCAATAACAGCCTGCTGGTCTCCGAAAATAATGTATACAGTATTGTGGAAAGGAGGTATATCTGCCAATGACATTTTAAAGCAACTCTCAGGATAAAATATATAACTCATTTTGCAAAATTCTCCTTTCCTTTTTCCATGCCCCTTTTCTCAAGAGAGTCTACTGATTCTTTGTAGGGCATTTCTAAGAATCTAAAAAGAAAATTTGGGGAGAATTGAGCAGAAAAATCTGTTCCTTTCAGTCAGGTTGTATGTACCTGTATCTAAAATAAACCTACTGTAAGCAATAGAACTTAGTCATAACTAACTCAGATCCTAAGGATTCTGAAAGGTCTACTTTAAATTATATGAGCTAAGGCTGTCACTCTTTACAAACTTCCCAGGGAATAAACCCCAATTAATGTAGTCCTGTAGTTTACTTCTACATTGAACTGTACTGTTAGACAAATGCTGAGAAGTTCCAAAAAAATTTATAGTTTAGAATACCCCCTTGCTCTTCTAATTAGAACCCTATTATATCTAGTTTAGTTTTTTTTTAATTTTAACATTGGAAAAGTTAAAGATAATTCAGTTCTACTTTTTTCTGTTTAATAAATAAAATAAATCTATATTATTTCATATACATTTTCAAACAAAAAGTAAAAAAAAACAATGTTTTGTCAGAGTATTTTATTTCAAGATGCAATAGAAAAACTATGGACAAGATGTCCTATTCTTACCATGACCTGAGGCAAAAACTGAAACAGGACCGGTCTGTACTAGGTAAGAGCTGGCAGTATAGTCCTCATCAGTGTCAGAGTCCTGAACTGGCTGGATAGCACTAGTACTTAGCAACCATCTCTGGTTGTCATGGAGATTTGGAGATGGAGGAGGGGAATGTAAATGTTCAATAACGGATTGACTAGATGAAGAAGATGGCATGGGAGGACCTGAGGAAAAAATATTAAAAAAATAGGATAACACACGGAATAGTTCAGAAATTGCTTACCTTCGTGTAATTATTTTTAAAAGTATTTTGATAAATTATAGCTAAACAAAATTATGATAGCATGTGATGGAAACGTTTACAGCTTTCTGAAATTCATTGTCGAAAGGATTATCTTTATTAAATGTTTCATTCCCTGAATAATTAAATGCAGAAATCAGTTGTATCTGTTGCATTTTATGATTCCATCGTATTTTCATCCAGTTTGAAAATACTAATTTAGGTATGAATCTTGAGGCTTGACAGTCTGTGCATGCAGAGAAAGACATGGCAGGATAGTTATAGCAGGGTTCTCAAGTTCCCACCTATCAATTGCACACAAATAATGTTTTGTACAACACTTTATAGGAGTTCAGAGTGCTGCCCATCAAGTGCTGCAGACTTGTAAGCTGAAGAGCTTGAAGAAAAAAAAAAGTCTCCTGGCAACAGGGGTCTGTCTTACTTGGCTGGGCCATACAGTTAGTATTTTGAATCCTCTCTCTCTGGAAGTATTATCTTCCAGGAATCTCTGCTCATTGATGCACTCTGTGAAATGGTATTGGGATCTCCAGATTGTGGCGGACGGGAAACAAAGCTTAAGTATGGATGACAAATTGAGGAGCTAAAACTGCCAGAGGGACAGAAGGATGAGAAGATGGACCAGGCCTGATTACTTTATGCAAGAGTTTCTTTGCTGAAAAAAGAAACAAGATCTTTCTGCCAAGAAAAGGAAGAAAAAAGAAGAAAAACTAGAAAAGCACTTCTTGGGATGGATTTTCTAAAATGATATTAAGCTATGACCTTGAAAACAATACTACAAAACAACCCAGAGAAATTTGTCTTCCTTAAGGCAAAGCCTTAATTATTCCATGTTTTGTACTGCAGAATGACAGAAAATATACTCTGAGCACCTATATTTCTTTTTACAGCTATCTGAAGAGTATAATCCCGTCGATTATCCCAAGGCTAAACACATCCAATTCTTTCAACTTTTTTCAACTATTTCCTGATCAGCCTCCCTGCCCTCCTCTGAACTGTTCCAGCTTATCTGAATTATTTTTTGAAGCATGCTGGCCAGGACTATACCCCAACCTAGAGGTGTGGCTTGTTCAGTGCAAAAAAAAAAAAAATGAAACAATTAATACTTCATGTGTTTATATCTGGATATATAGCTTTAGAATCAATTCATGAATTTTTACCACTACTATACCAAACCAGATAACTTTTATACCTTGCATTTTATTTCTGTTTGTTAAATGATGAATTTTGTCTCTATTAAATTTCATTCTATTATTTTTAATGTATTTTTCCAATATATCACTCCTGTTAGTATAATTTCTGCCTTCAAGATATCCTAACCAACTGTTTGCCATCAGCAAACTTGGTGAATATTTCATTTCCTTATCAAATAATAGTAAAAATGTAACTGTACCAGGCCTAGAACTGAACCTTGTGGCATCCAATACAATATCAGACATACAGCCCACGGTGTTAACTAAGTTAATTATCACAGTCACCTAACATTTTAGAATATTAATCTTTATTTTTATATATTTGTTGAGACTATCTGATGAATCTTTTCTGAAATTATTTATGTTGTTTTGGAGTCAATATTCAGGCTAGGTTATAGCACTGAGACAGTCACACTTATGGATTAAATTGTGAATGATCAAAGATGGGATATTGCAACTATCCTGGCTTTCTTGGACTTCTCTCTAGTTTTCAATACCACAAACCACAATATTTCTTCACCAGCTATGGGAGTTGAGTGTGGGGGGCATTAGTTTAGAGTGGTTCTCCTCATTCCTCTGTAGCAGATTCAACTATTAGTAGGGGGAGAGGGAGAGTTGAGCCTTAGACATCTGCTGACACCTGCTCTCTGATGCCTAATGTTTGGATCTTTTGTCCTTCCTCCTTAACATCTGCTGTGAGAGGCCATCTGATGGCCCACGATTCAGTATGACCACTATCCTAATGATAGCCAACTATATCTCTTTGATACTGCCAAAGGACACTGACCCAAGTATTGGCCAAATGTCTGAGACTGTAAAGGCTTGGATGTGGAAAAAAAGTTTCAACAAAATCCTAACAAAATGTAGTTGCTCTGGATTTGTGGTCCTCCTAGTTCTAGAGAGCTGAAAAGCAATTTGGAGGCCTTCTTGGATTCACAACTCCTGCTTGAGGAACAGGCAACAGCTATGGCTAGGGGAAGCTTTGCTGCAAATTAATCTGCTGTTATCAATTGTACTCATTCCTAGATTGAAAGATTTGGGTCATAGTCACTCATTTTGGGTGCTCTACAGTTTATCCATGTTATACTTCTGATGCATAAGCTGCACTGATTTCAGATTCTTTCCAGGTCAATGTCACTAGTCCAGGTTATTTGCAGGATTGTTTCTCATGGACAGTATCTTCTCATTCCATCAGATCAGATAGGTTGGGTATATACTCCAGGTCCCTATCTTAATTTTGCCATTAATCAGATCCTAGTATAAAACCTTCTCACTAACGATCTGTGCCCTTTAGAGCAACATACCCCAACTCTTTTACCTTTCTGGAAAGCTTTGAAGACACACAAAGATACATGTACATACATACGACATATTTAAGTGTGATTCCTGCACACATTTATGGAAAGAGCGAGTATTCAAGATTGTTTGTTTAAAATTAGCAACCCTTGATTAATAAGGTAAGGAGAAACTGAGCACTACATAGGACTTTTTCTGGTTTTGTATGTACACAAGACACATACCCACACACATACCCTTCTTCCACCTACTCTTACTTTTGGAGGGCAAATCATTTTAAATTCAAGCTTATCTTTCTTTCAGGTAAATATGATACTCTTCTACCATGAAATTGCCAGGTTGCTGGCATTCTTTTATAACTTTGTAATGAGTGGCTTTTAATTATAAGTCCATTTTATATTATAGACCTCCTGTATGCTATCCAACCCATGTAACGTGGCATTGGCATTTATCTCTCTGCTGGATACAAGAGCCTTCTGTACTCAACCTGTGGTGACAGTTATATGTTAATTAAAAGCCTACATGCAAATAGCATTACTGAAAAGTGTTGTGGCAGATCGCACACAAAGCACTATTATTTGTAACTGCACAGACCTTGTTATCAACTGCTTTAATACTGAGCAAACATTGTATCTCCCTCTGGGAAATATGCTAACAAATACATTACCTAAGTTAGGATAGTTAGAGATCGTTCAATAGTTATTACACAGTTGTCACAATGGAGACTTCTTCAGACAAATGTTAATTATAGGATATGTACTCTGTTATTTTTAGCATGTTTAATGACCAATTAAACCTTGTCAATATATATTTAAAATATTTCACGTACCTCTGAATTCCAATGAATTTTCAATTATAACTTATGTTTGTAGCTGTATCTAAAATACAGACAGCTATATTTTATATCTAAGTTACTGGGAAAATTGCATGTTTATCAATAAGTGTGCAAAGCTACCAATCTTGTGAAAAGAGATATGGTCAATATCTGAACTCACAGCAATAGTACTGCTTCCAAAGAACCTATGTTCCAAAACCCGTACCAGACAATAAGATACTTTTGCTGCAATTGCATCCTTAGTTCGTCCTGAGCATGTATACTGAGTTTCTGATTCTTTTATATTCCATTACCAATCCCATGAAAAGATTCTACCTTTTTTTTGCAGTCAGTTCAGTTTCTTTTTATCATTCTTCCTAAACTCAGATTGTCATCATGATAGATACTATCAGATCTCATGTATTGAATCTTGCTATTTATTTTTAGCTTTAAATCTTTTCATTTTTTAGGTATTTGTGATTTTTTATTTGGTCTGAAATATGACTAGAAAAAGAACAAGTTTCTATATTTTCCTGAGTTACATTAAATCAAATACATTCCCCTCAATTGCGCAAAGTGTAAACTAAAATTTCTTAATACTTCATCGAATCTACTGTATTCCTAATGAAAAGGGTAAAAGAAACCAAAAAAGGTAAAGCAATTGTTGACTGAAGTTAAAATTAGCTAACTGGAACTTCAGAATTATTTTCTTTATAAATGTTTAAGCCAATTATTTGATGAAACTAGGTTAATTAAATTTCATTTTAATGGATTGATGTTTATCTCCAACTGAAGGAACAATCAATTCTGTGAACCTTGTTCTGCTAAATGTTCTCAAAAAATGTACATGTGAAAGGCAAAGAGGAAATGAACCTGCTGGAATGAATAATGCATATTCAGTTATACTAACTTGACATCCCAATGCTACTTCTAAAAAAGCATAACAAATTGAATAAAAAAGGGATAACAAATTGTTCCGTTTCTAAGAGAAAGCCCGCACAGTTAGTCAGAATGGAATAGCAATCTCAGGTTAAACATTAGGAGATAGGGTTTGCATTTTGTTTAATATTTCATGGTGCATGGCATGGACCAATAAAAAACCCTTCCATAATGTCTTGTTGACGTTAAGCTGTCTTTAGGCAATTAAGTAGAACCAGACAACCTGTGCCCCATTGGGTCATCATTTCAGAGTTATTTCCTTACCTAAACAGAACAGAATGACTATGGGTGGAGAGGCAATGGGACTGAGAACAAATTCTGCTTCCTCCTGAACTTTCCTTGTGGGAAGCTGGCAGGGAGCTTCAGAATCCTCCCTCCCTTCCTTCCCTATAGCACTTAAGATCTGTGTTCTGCCCCATAGTGCTTTAAAGCAGTCTCTGAGTGGTTTACAATGTCAGCATATTGAATCCAATAGTTTGGGCCTTCATTTTACCAACCTTGGAAGGACAAGTCAACCTTGAGCCAATCAGAATGAAACTCTTGGCTGTGGAAAAAATTAGCCTGCAATACTGCATTTCTAACTCCTGCACTGCCATGGCTCCTAATGTTAAAAATGAAGATCATGCAACTGCAGCAGCAGCGCAGTAGCATCAAAGCAGACACAACTTTCTCAATTTGAGTCCC